ATTCCCCAATTCGGCCGAGACCGGTTCTCCTCTCTTGGCTCCTTTCTTGAGGCATGTGCCAAGAAGTGAAATTATTAACGCTGATGTGCTTAGCAATGCTTTTGCTTATTATCTCCGCGCTCCTGAGTGCGAGGAGCGGGGCCTCTTTGTGCTGTTACACAACGCTCGTTTTCTTTTTTGCATGTGTTTTTCTGGGATTCGGCCACGTGTAAAGTGGAAATGGGGCGGTTTCCTTTCCGTTGAGAAAGCGCCAGAATAAAAGTGTCGTGGTTTTTTTTTAATAAGGATCACCGGTTTTGTTTTTGCACTCCCAAGGTGAAAATGCTGACGGTGGAGAAGAAGGTGAACGAGATCCTGAACCGGCTCGAGAAGACAAAAGTGGAGCGCTTCCCAGACCTGGCTGCTGAGAAGGAAGCCCGGGATAGAGAGGAGAGAAACGAGAAAAAAGCCCAAATCCAAGAGATGAAGCGAAAGGAAAAGGAGGAGATGAAGAAGAAGAAAGAGCTGGAGGAACTGAGGTGAGTTAGAAATCGCGGTGCCAACTTTTTAAAGTGCTGCTGGGAAGAGTCGCGGGTCAGCAGTTTTTGTTTGATGGTTGCTGAGTCCCGGTGTTACTCGGGGCTCGGCTGCCCCGCTCTGGCGCAGGCGTTTGCACGGCCCAGTGATTTCCTTTGTCTTCACGACAAAGGCGGTTTCCCCCGTCTCACCGCAAATAAACCTGGACGTGAAACCGTTGTGGGAAAGCAAGGGCTGTGTCTTTTTTACAACCTGTCCCTGATTTGGGTGAAATTGGGCGAACCGCTTGGTCTTTGGGATGGGAGCGATTGCTTCCAGCTTTGTCCGAGCGTTGGGAAGCGCTGGAGTCCTTCAGCTTCCTCTTGCATCGCTTCTATTGACTAAAATGTGTGTGAATCCTCAATCCCACGCTCCTTTAAGCGCAGAGTAAGGGCTGGTGGTTTGAGATGTCACGTTGACCTTCCTGTTCATACCGCAGCGTGTGGGAGCTCGTTCCTTGGTAGCAACGGCCCCGTACATCCGCTGGCCGGCCCCAAAAGTTCGCTTTTAAGCTTTAGTGAGTCGTGTTTATCTGTAAATTACAGTGAAAATGCAGCTTTGCAAATACTCTGGGATTTCCTGAGTGATTCACACACGAAGAGCTCAGAGAAAAGAGCTTAAAGAAGCAAACTAAACTGAGGAGAAGTGACCAGCGGGCACGTCTGTGCTCCGGGAGCGAGGAGCCTGCCTGCTTATTTAACCTCGCCCCAGCGCTGCCTCTTGGCCGTGCCCCAAAGCAAAGGATTTTCTACCTCCTGGGGTGATGGAACTGGTAGTTCCCGCACAAAAATGCGGGGGAGTTCGAGTAGTGCCTGGTTGTTTCAGTGAGTATGAGATAAGCAAATACCAGCCCAGCCTGCTTGAGTTCAGAAAGGAGGGGCGGGGGGGAAATTGGCTTTTCTGGTCCTGTTTTCTCAAAACGCCTCTCTGGTGGGGGATTTTGGGAACCTACCATGCAAGGTAATGTAATTTCTCTTCCAGGAGCTACTCATCGTTAATGAAGGCTGAGAACATGTCCTCCAATCAGGTAAGGACTGGCTGGTGCCCACAGAAACCTTTTAGACTCGGCTGAAATTCAATATGGGCTTCAGATGGTCCAGCTCCCGCATTGCAGTCTGGTTTTGGCGTGACAGAGCACTTCTCCATCACCTCTTCTTAGTGAAGGACATTGCTGCTCTCCTCTGCTTTCCCATTGCTTCTGTGTCAGCCACAGGGAGCCTGGGCTGACAAATGGGCACAAAGTCCTCCCCACCCCCTTCCCACTTGAGTGAAAGAGCAGAGAGAGCTTGTGAGGGACCAGGCTTGGCTCTCCTGGGGCTTGTGAGCAGAGGAGGTCTCTCTAATTACAGAATCCCAGAATATGAGGAGTTGGAAGGGACCTGGAAAGCTCCCCCAGTGCAACCCCCCCAGAGCAGGATCACCAGAGCAGTCACACAGGAACACGGCCAGGGCTTTGGGTGTCTCCACACAAGGAGACTCCACAACCTCTCTGGGCAGCCTGGGCCGTGCTCCATAACCCTCACACTGATTTTGGATTGCTGGTGATAAATTGAAAAGCTACAGGTACACTAAAGGTCGTATAACTAATACCAAAACCAAGACTACACTCAGGGAAACCTAGAAATGAACCTGAGGAGGGAAATATAAAATACACTCAGGGAATACGCACCTGAGGAAAAATATAAAGTAACCCATGTAAGTTACCTTGGCCAGCATTCAGACCAAGGGGGAAGGTTCTCATCACTCCGTGGCTGGAGAAGCAACTCCCCCTTTTCTAGCATGAATCTTAGGGGTTTTATTCCCTGATGTACGTGACAGCAGGCAGGAGTGTGCCTGAGTGGATTGGACCACCCGGGGTGTTTGTCTTTAGGTTTCTCCTTATCTTTAGTTATTCTTGGGTGATGTTCCCTTCTGTGTGCTCTATCATCTGCATATCTTTGTATTGTCGTGGGCCCTTGGAGCCAGACAGAAATCCTCCAGCTTATCTTTGCTTTACTTTCAGGCAATTCAATAGTTGATTGGGACTCAGGGCATATTATTTGTTGGGGATTTCAAGGCTCAGCTCAGGTTTCGGTTCTTTGAAAGATGGAGCGCTGCCCTGTTTAGTTTCCTGCTTACCAGACAACTCAGGGCTGAGCTGTCTACACAGCTCCCCGTGGGTCATCTCTGCAGAGACAGGGCCTCAAGGCAATCTAAGGCTGAGTTGCTCCTGCAACCCCCCCACGAGTCGCCTGGTGCACTGGACATTACCAAAACCTGTTTTAAACTATGAGCCAGACCGATCCTTACACTTGCTCCCATTGCCCCTTGTCCTGCCATTGGACATCCCAGAGCAGAGCCTGGCTCCTTCCTCCTGACACTCGGCCTTTCC